CCATTAAATTCAGAATTAACTCCAAAAAATAACTCCAATTTTTGGTAATTAACTCCTAATCTTGAATGACAAACTGTATTCCTTTGACAATGGCAATTAATTCATGAATTTAATCACAAATTAATGTCAAGGTTTGACCACCCCCTTTCGCAAGATAGGGCTCCTTGGATTTTGTAAAGTGATGGTTCTCCAACATGTAAAATGGACCCCTTGCGGGATCCGGTACCAACATACAACTAATCCTCAAGCCTTTGAGGAGTCTCTAGCAGAGGTTCAGACAATGATAACGGATCCGATTAATGATTTTTTAACGGCTCCCGCGACGGAATGTGAGGTCCGAGCGGCTTTATTTATGATGCATCCGGATAAGGCACCCGGACCAGACGGGATGACAGCTTTGTTTTTCCAGAAAGCCTGGATTACCATTAAATCGGATTTGTTAACTCTCGTTAATTCTTTTTTACAAGGAGTTTTTGACAAGCGGTTAAATACGACTAATATATGTCTTATTCCAAAAACGGAGCGACCGACTCGGATGACAGAATTACGGCCTATTAGTCTCTGCAATATTGGTTACAAAGTTATATCAAAGATCCTATGTCAAAGACTTAAGAAGATCTTACCAAATCTTATTTCGGAAACCCAATCTGCTTTTGTAGAAGGGCGACTAATTTCGGTTAATATACTAATAGCACAAGAGATGTTTCATGGTCTGAGAACTAACCAGTCATGCAAAGGAAAATTTATGGCTATTAAGACGGATATGAGCAAAGCTTACGATCGGGTTGAATGGAGTTTCATAGAAGAATTATTAAGGAAGATGGGTTTTTGCGAAAAATGGATTTCGTGGATGATGTGGTGTATCACAACAGTCCAATATAGGGTCTTACTTAATGGACAACCAAAAGGGCTAATAATTCCAGAGAGGGGACTTAGACAAGGAGATCCTTTATCTCCTTACTTATTCATTCTCTGTACGGAGGTACTCATTGCGAATATTAAGAAAGCGGAACGTGAAAACTTGATTACAGGTATCAAGGTATCCACAGCTAGCCCGTTGGTATCTCATCTCTTATTTGCTGATGATAGTTTGTTCTTTTGCAAAGCCAACAAAGAACAATGCAGGGTAATTTTGGGAATTCTAAAACAATATGAAGCGGTTTCAGGGAAACAAATTAATTTTTCAAAATCATCTCTTCAGTTTGGCTACAAAGTTGATGAGTCTATTAAGGAAGAAATAAAAGCGGCTCTGGGTATCCACAATCTTGGTGGCATGGGATCTTATCTTGGTCTACCGGAAAGCCTTGGTGGATCTAAGATAAAGATTTTCTCCTTTGTTCGAGATAGACTTCAGGTTAGGATAAATGGTTGGTCGGCTAAGTTTTTATCGAAAGGCAGAAAAGAAGTTATGATTAAATCGGTAGCTGCGGCATTACCAACATATGTTATGTCATGCTTCAGACTACCAAAATCAATAACTTCTAAACTTACGAGTGCGGTCGCAAAATTTTGGTGGAGCTCAAACGGTGAATCGAGGGGAATCCATTGGATGGCTTGGGATAAACTTTGTAGTAGTAAATCGGAAGGTGGGGTAGGATTTCGGAACGTGGATGATTTTAATTCAGCGTCATTGGCTAAACAATTATGGCGTTTGATTATGGCTCCTGAGTCACTATTTGCAAGGGTATTTAAAGGACGATATTTCCGGAAATCCAATCCATTGGATAATATAAAATCGTACTCTCCTTCTTATGGTTGGAGAAGTATAATGTCAGCTAGATCTCTGGTTCTTAAAGGACTTATTAAAAGAGTTGGTTCTGGGGCGTCCATCTCAGTATGGGAGGACTCATGGATACCAGCTCAATTCCCGAGACTAGCAAAAAGTAATAGTTCAATTACTGACCCATCTTTAAAAGTTAATCAACTTATCGACAGCCGGTCAAACTTTTGGAATATGAATCTCTTGGCGGAGCTTTTTGATCCAGAGGATGTCGCGCTGATTAGTGCTTTGCCTTTGGGTGTCTCAACTAAGGAGGATACCCTTGGTTGGTATTTCACAAAATCAGGAAATTATACGGTTAAATCGGGTTACCATACCGCACGGACAGAGACTTCTGATGCCACCCTTAAATTTTTTGGCCCGGATATCAAATCTCTGAAAGCTTATGCATGGAAGGTGAAGTGTCCACCAAAGCTACGACATTTTTTGTGGCAAATATTATCAGGTTGTGTACCTGTTACGGAGAATCTGAGAAAGAGAGGTATAAATTGTGACACCGGATGTGTTAGATGTGGCGCTGTGGAGGAAACAATTAATCACACACTTTTTGAATGTCATCCTGCAAGACAAATCTGGGCTCTTTCTCCAATCCCTTCGGTTACAGGGATTTTTCCCTCGGCTTCTATTTACGCGAACTTGGATCATCTTTTCTGGAGAATTCCATCAGAGATTGATTCGTCTTTATTTCCATGGATAATTTGGTATATTTGGAAAGCGAGAAACGAGAAAATTTTTGATAATGTGGATAAAGACCCATTAGAGGTTCTACATTTAGCGGAGAAAGAGGCACAAACTTGGCAGGTTGCTCAATCTGAGCTACATATTGACAACCAAGGTTCTTCAGATACTGTATCTCGAAATCGCGTGAGAGAGATTTCATTGGATTCCAGTTACTCCGGACATCGGTGCTTCATGGATGGATCATGGAAAAGGACTGATATTTTTTCGGGAACAGAGTGGTACTGTACATCGGCAAATGGAGAGATGCCAACCATGGGAGCTGCAAACATCCGGCGAAGTCTATCCCCCCTACATACATATGTCGAAGCTCTACTCTGGGCGATGAAGTGTATGATTGGTGCTGACAACCAAGATGTAGCTTTCTTTACAGACTGTTCAGATTTGGTGAAGATGGTGTCTTCTCCAACCGAATGGCCGGCCTTCTCAGTGTATTTGGAAGACTTGAAGAGTGACAAGGAAGAATTCTCTAATTTTTCTTTATCTTTAATTCCGCGTAGCGCAAATGTAAAAGCGGATAATTTGGCACGAATAATTCGTACCGAACCGCATCATATCACTTATGTAAACAACATTACTCAGAAATGGCTCTTTTGAGAATCTATTTTATTTAAGCTGTTGACAAAAAAAAAAAATTTCATTTAAGTTTAAATCAAGTTTGGATAAACAAATGAATCAACCAGAAAAGATGTTAGGATATTACATATACACAGAAAATGTTTAGACTTTTAACACACAAAATGTTAATGAAATCAATTGGTCCAAATGAAATCATTATACGGAAGGAGACCATTAGCAAATATCTTTGTGTTGTATAAGATGGAATTGGGGAAGATAATAGTATTGGGAAAATAATTGTTTTAGCATGTCATATGTTGATCGGAAATAAAAATAAAGTCTTGATAACAACAGAGGGGGCAAATTAAGTAAGTAACACTCATACGATATTATTAATATTCTCCATGTTCCTAGAAGATTGATTTTCTAAAAAATTTACATATATATACAATTATTGTTTAATTATTTAATAATTAGTTATTTAATAAAATATTTTTATATAAAATATGAAAATAGTAATCTTAAATAGCTAATTATTTTTAATCATTACATCTTGAAATCTACTATTTATTAATATCAATTAATAAAAAAAGAACCTAAAAAATCAATTTTTGTAGAACATACATAAAGCACTAGAACATCAATCTTCTAGGAAGAGAGAGAGTATACAACAACACTATTAAGGTGTTAAATTTTGCTGATCAGTAATAAAATCAAAATGACAAGAAATTCAAAAATTTTACGAATTATATCTCTATAGATTTGAATACAATGTGATTATTTTCAATCTGTTTCTCTGCTTACATTACATAGGTCATGTTTGTTTCGTAATTGCAGGACGATTGCGACTGCGACTACGACGATTTTGAATCGCATGATGTTGTTCGTTTAGCAATCGCGCGACTATTCGCTATTTAAAAAGTCGCATCGCTAATTTTTGATATATGAATTATTAGTATACATAACATGTTTTGTTTTATTTTAGAAGTTAGACACACTTTATGTATGCATAATAGGCATTAGTAACACATTTTATGTAGTAAACGACCAGTGGCTGAATAATATGAGCAGTATATTCTAGAACATTGGTGTAAAAAGAAAATTCATTAATAAAATAGAGTGGCTTTAGTATAGGGGTGTCAAAATGAGTTAATACCCATGGGTTACCCGAACCCGCCCATGATTTTAGTGGGTTTGGGTAGAATTTTTTTACCCATATATATATATATATATATATATATATATATATGGGTTTCAGTGGGTTACCCTATTAGGGTTATGGGTTTAATGGGTAAAACCCATTAGGGTCATGGGTTACCCATGGGTTTCATAACCAAAACTAAAAAGTAAAATTTATATATATCTATATTAATATATTATGTAAAATTTATATAAATATATATAAAATATCTTCTTTTCTTTACAACTATCTTTTTTATTTGGTTTTATGGTTCTTTGGATTTGTGGTTTTAAGATTTTAGGATGTTTTTCTACTTTAATATCTAGATTTTTTAATTTATTATTTAAAAACTTTTGTTGGTTTACAATTTTATGTTATTTTTTTGGATTTTTATTATTTATATATTTTATTATACATATATATGGGTACCCATATAACCCATTAAGCCAATGGATTTTTACAATAATGGGTTTGGGTATATAAATTTAACCCATATAAATATATGGGTCGGGCCAAACCCGTCCATTAAACACTCGAACCCATGTTGGTTTGGGTCGGGTCGGGTCGGGTTACCCATTTTGACACCCTTACTTTAGTATGCATATCAATTATTCTATATAATACCAAATAGAGTAAGATTAGTTCAAAACCGCCATTGAAATTGGTGTTTAATCGATGGGCTGAATTGAAATTGGGGTAAAAGTTATTCATTTTTTTTTCTCACAATTCTCAGAAAAACGAACCTTCATGACTCTTTCCTAAAGACACCTCTAAATAGAAAGAACGTAACCTCTAAACTCTAAAGTGAGATTATTGCCTTAATTAACCATAGACTTAAGAGAGAAGTTGTAAGTTTGTGTTAGTGGAGTAGATGGAGAGTTAAGTACGCAACTCAACATTTTCACTTTCTTTCAGCTATAAATATGTTTAGAAGAGGTATTACATTCCACCACATAGAAAAACTCTTTCACAATATTGCAGTTTATTATTTTATCATCCTTTTTTATTTGTTTGAAATCTTTGTGGCAAAAATGGCAAATGTTGGAAACACTAACCTGCATGATCGTTTTAGAACACTAGTTGGTGACCTGAACTTGGCACAAAATCAGTTTCAGTTCAAATGCGCGGAGTTAGTGAGAAATTATGAAGAGTCTCAACCGAAGAAGGTGCTGGAGGAAAAGAAAATAGATTTGGAAAAGCTCTACGAGAAGCTAAAAGAAGTTATGAAGAAAATTGTTGCTTTCGCCGCAAAAATAGGTTAATTTTACTTTTCTAATGAAGATCTCTTGTACATAAATAATTGAGATGTTGGTCTGTGTCTAAACTCTGATGACGAGTGATATATAGACAAGTTAATTATTTTACTTTTCTTGAACTATTTAAGTCCTGTGAGACTTTCTTGTAAATAAATAATTGCTGTCTCTAAACTCTGATGAGTTATATATAAAATACATATGCATTTGTTTTTATCTGTCCCTTTTCTCTTTTTCTTCTTTATGAGTCGAAGAGACTCACATTCTCTAAAGAGTGTCGTTCCATGGGATCCAAACAGAGAAAGATTTGAAAATCAGTCTCATTTCTTGATCATTGTCGAGTTCTTGGTAAAATCCCATTAGAGATTTTTCTCAACGAGAAGTGATATTTAGGAAAGCCTAAAAAGGACGAGAATCCATTATGATGATGATCCCATTGCCTTGTGTCCCAAGAGACGCCGAAGAAGAATAAGAGAAGCTAATATTAATTTATTAAGTTCTTTATTAAGATCAAAAGGAAAATATTCCTCAAGTTATATATAATCATCTAATCCGGATAGATTAAGTGTAGAGTTGTAATTCTTCTATTTATGTTATTTCCTGAAAAATGTATTACAAGTTGAAAAAGATTAAGATAGTTCAACCGAGTTTGAAATGGTCTTGACCTATGACTAATTTTCTTTCATCTCCATTTATTTCTTCTATAAATTATAAAACTATTTATTAAAAGATAACTTGCGGAGAAATATTTACTCTTGGCAACACGTTTTCTTTCTTCATGATTACTAAATTAGGTTCCAAAAAGAAAAAAAGAAATACCTCCAAAAAGAAAAAATAAAAAAAGGTAAGATAGACTGTTTTTGCTGGTTACATGTTTATTCTCACTAAAAAATGAAAACTCTTGATAAAGAACCCATGAACTTAGCGAATCATATCTACATTTGGATCTAATTATGTGCCTCAATTAATATGATGTCTGTATAGTACATTTTTTTTTATCTTAGTGGGTTGCACACATTTTCTGTATGTATATCCTATGAGACATTAGGACACAATTTAACATTAGTTACACAAAACATATTTGTTGCCAACCAAACTAAAGTGATTTAGGTAGAATTAAAACATTGGTGTCAAAAAACATTTGTTATTTCAAAAAGAATGGCTGATATATATTTGTCACAACCATTTTACATACCAAAGAGGGTAAAAATGCAAAACGCCATTGAAATATTCTTTTACAAGTTTAGTATTGTAGCTATTTATTTTTTATTTAAATAAGTTACACTTATATATCAAAGATAATGTAGTTGCTTGGTATTTGAATCTGATTCTCTGTCTACGTTACATATTAGTGGATTTAGTTGTCACTTTGTTGTCGCTTATGAACTTCATCGTCATTATTGCATCTTGTGTTCTTTTTTTTTTGGTTAACAAATTAAAAGTATTTATCTTGTTAAACACACGGGTAAAAAGAAAAGCCATTAATAAAAATTAAAAAGAGAGGCTGATTTAGTTATCACATCTATTATACCAAAAGAGTACGATTAATTCGTAAATTTGAGGTGAAGTGAGTGGTGCAATGACCCGTGTGGAAAATCAAATCATGGACCTAAAGATTGAAGTAGTGCTACTTTATTACCCAGCCGATGAAATTGCTCCTGCAGCGGCCATTGCGAACCTTGAGAATGAGAAAAGAACGTTGGAAAGGCTCTCCTCGGAGATGGAAAACTCGATAGTACAAATGGCTGCTTACATATTAAAAGAACAACAGTGATAGTAATTTAAATAACTGTTAATCAAGAAGATATTTAACATTAACTAATCAATAGTTATGTGTTAAATATAGTTACGTGTGTCACAAGCTTTAAGGTTGAATAAGAGAAGAAGAGAGTAACGGTCATGTTGACCTTGTACGGACATCTTTGATCTTATCCGAGACTTAACCAAAGTGTGTGTACGGCAATATTGTCTGGTTGTGTGAGCTGTTTAGGAGCTGGAACACACGTGGCTTATCAAGGCTGGATGAGGGTGCTAATTGTGTGTGCACAACCCATCTCTGACCTAGAGTTTGTTCTATTTAAAAGCCATAAGCGCCTCTTTCATTTGTAACACATATCTTTTCCTTATCAATCAAATACTCTCTCTTTTCCCTCAATCTTAATCATGGTTTCTTCAATCTTTCCTACTTAACTCTTTAAGATTTACAATAACGTTACTTCTCTTGAACTCTCTTTATGTAAATAAATAATTGAGAAATTTCTCTGTCTCTAAACTCTTATTAGATTGGTTACGTGGAAACCCCACTATTGATACTTTTCTTTCAAAATCTCTTATGTAAGTAAATAATTTAGAAACTGCTATGTTTCTAAGAGCCTGACTGGTTTAATTAAAAAAGATTGAAAAAGATTAAGATAGTTCAACCGAGTTTGAAATGGTCTTGACCTATGACTTGCTATTTCTTTTTCATCGCCATTTATGTCTTCTATAAATTTTAACATTATTTATTAAAAGAAAACTATCGGAGAAATAAACACTCTTGGCAACACGTTTTCTTTCGCTATGATTACTAAATTTAGGGCACTAATGAAACCCAAATTACCTTCACCACTCAAATCTAAAGACACCAACCTACTTATAGAAAATAATGTAACAAACTCGTCATCTAGTAAGTAGTGACTAATACACACCTCTAAAGTTGAGATTTTATTATATTGATTTGTGAGAGAGAAATTTACGTTTATTCGCATTTTGATATTACTGATCGAGACTTAAGAACGAAGACGAACAGATGTCATTTGATTTCAAGTTTGGATAAAAAATAAATGGACAAGAAAAATATTTTACAGATATACATAGAAAACGTCTAGACTTTTCAACACACATAGTTTTAATGAACTCAATTGGTCCAAATGAAATTATCATATTCATACGTACGGAAAGAGAACATTAGCAAATATCTTTGTGTTGTATAGAATGAAATTGGGGAAGAAATACTGAAATAGTATTGGGAAAATAATTGTTTTAGCCTGTCAAGTGTTCTGATCGGCAATAAAAATAAAGTCATAACAAACCCATGACTATAGCGAATCATATATATATAATTGGAAGTAAGTAGGTGGTTTAATTAATATAGAGAAAATTAAGAAACTAACACTCATACAATATTATTAATATAAAACAACGTCATTAGGGTGTTAAAGTTTACTGATTAGAAACAAAGTTAATGGATTCGAACTTTTTACGAATTATATCTGTAATGATTTAAATCCAATGTGATTATTTTCAACTGTTTCTCTTCTTAGGTTACATATTAGGGAATTTAGTTGTTGCATTATTGCATTGTGTTTGGTTTTGTTAACAAAACTATCTAGCTTGTTAAACCCGTGAGGTAAAATATGATTTTGATATATATGAATTATAATTAGTACATGTTTTTGATTATAGAAGTAACTAGCACATTTTGACCAAAAAAAAAAAAAAGAAGTAACTAGCACACATTTTTCTGTACGTATAATAGACATTAGTACACATTTTATGTAGTGACGAAACAGGGGCTGAATAATATGAGTACTATACTGCAGAACATTGGTGTAAGAATAAAATTCATTAATAAAAAAGAGTGGCTGATTTCGTAATCACATCCATTTTCTATTCCAAAACCGCTTATAAGTTATAGTAAGATTAGTTCAAAACCGCTATTGAAATTGGTGTCTAATCGATGGGCTGAATTGAAATTAGGGTAAAAGTTACTTAAAATCTATATTCTTTTTTTTTTTTCTCACCGTTTATTTTCATTAGAAATTTAATTAAAAATGAACTTAAAAAAAAAACGAACCTTCATGACTCTTTCCCAAAGGCACCTCTAAATAGAAAGAACGTAACCTCTAAACTCTAAAGTGAGATTATTGCCTTAATTAACAATAGACTTAAGAGAGAAGTTGTAAATTTGTGTTAGTGGCGTAGATGGAGAGTTAAGTACGCAACTCAACATTTTCGCTTTCTTTCAGCTATAAATAGAGATGTTTAGAAGAGGTTTTAGATTCCAACACAGAAAAAATCTTTCACAGTTTTATAATTTTATTATCTTTCTTTTCGTTTGAAATCTTTGTGGAAAAAAATGGCTAATGTTGGAAACTCTAGTGGGTCTACTCGTTATGAAGAGCTGTGTCGTGAAATGACGCAGCTGAATGATGAACTTAAGAAGCTCGACGTGTCTGATTGTGTTGCCATTGAAGAAGCAATTAAGAAGTTAACTGATATGAACACGAAGTTGAAAGAGCTCTGTGAGAAGATGAAAGAAACTGTGAAGGAGACGAAGGAAACCCCACAGTGATAGGTTACTTTTACTTTTCCAGTGAAGCTCCCTCTTATAGATAAATAAATAATTGAAATGTTGCTATGCGTCTAAACTCTGATGAGGATTGTTAGACAAGTTAATTATTTTACTTTTCTTGAACTATTGAAGTCCTGTGAGACTTTCTTGTAAGTAAATAATTGGGAAACTCTTATGAGTTATATATAAATAGACATGGTTGTTTCAATGTGTGCCTTTATTTGATTCTTCTTCTATATGAGTCACAACCTCTAAAGAGGATATTTTCTTGGGATCAGAACAGATAAAGATTTTTTTTTTTTTTTTTTCATTTTCGTGTTCTTGGGAATTTCTCATAAGAAAATGTCTAAAAATCATGCTATAGGAAACCCTGAAAAAAAATATTCACTCAAGTTTATTCATTATCATCAAAAATCTGTATACGTTAAGTCTAGAGTCTTAAATCTTGTAGCTATATGTTTAATCATACAATATATATTACAGATTAAAAGATTACAATAGGGTAACCGACAATGAAATGGTCTTGACCGATGCATTGAATTGGGGATAAAGAAAAACTAAGACTGTTTTTCTTCCATTTCCTTATATGTCCATTGAAAATTTCAAATTCTTTACTAAAAGTAAATGAACTTGTGGTGAAAATTCAAAAATTCTTTTTTGAATCGAGAAATAAATACTCTTGGTAACACGTTTTCCTTCGTCATAATTAGTTTCTGTTCTGTTTATTACCCCCAAATTACGTCACCTAATGAACTCATATTATCAATAATCATTTATATAAATATTTTCAGATAGAAAATGTAACAAACTTTTTTTTGTGTGTGTTAAATGTTAATGCTCAATAACAAAAATAAAATCTTGATAAATGACCACCTTAGCGAATCATAAATACTAGAGGAAAAAAGTAATATTTAAATGTTTTTATTATTATTAATATATCAGTATAAACATTCTATAGGTAATGTTGAATGCTGAATACCCATGGTATGAATGGCATTGTTGCAGGGTGTTAAATTTTAGTGATTAGTAGCAAAATAAAAAACTATGTTTTTATTTTGTTTATAATCTGTTTCTCAGCCTGCATTACATATATTGAATTTAGTTGTCATATTGTTGTTGCTTTTTGATCTTCATAGTCATTGACCAAACACAACCTCAAATGTATATATATATGCTCAAAGCCATTGGTGCATGTAAAAGTAAATCCACTATTAATAAAGACCGGCTGATTTAGTAATCATAACATTATTACATGCCAAAGAGAGTAAGATAGTTCAAACCACCATTGAAATTGTCTTTAATCGATGAAATGAAATGGAGGTAAAGTTTTAAATAAAAAGATTAAGATATTTCAACTGAGTTTGAAATAGTCTTGACCTATGACTATTATTTCTTTCATCTCTATTTATGTCTTTTAGTAATTTTAAAATTATTTATTAAAAGAAAACTTGCGGAGAAATAAATAATCTTGGCAACAACTTTTCTTTTGTCATGATTACTAAATTAGGTCCCAAAATGAACTAATTTAGGGCACTAATGAAACCCAAATTAACTTCACAACTCAATTCTAAAGATACCTACCTACATATAGGAAATAATGTAACAGACTCGTCATCTAGTGAGTGGTGACTAATACACACATCTAAAGTTTAGTTTATTATATTGATTTATATATGTTGAGTTTATTCGCATTTGATATTACTGTTGTAGTGATCGAGACTTAAGAGAGAACGAAGACGAACAGATTTCATTTAATTTTAAATCAAGTTTGGATAAAAAAATGAATCAACCAGAAAAGAAGTTAGGAAATTACAGATACTCAGAAAATGATTAGACTTTTAACAGACAAAATGTTAAATGAAATCAATTGGTCCTAATGAAATCATTATACGGAAGGAGACCATTAGCAAATATCTTTGTGTTGTATAAAAAGGAATTGGGGAAGACAATAGTATTGGGAAAATAATTGTTTTAGCGTGTCATATGTTCTGATCGGAAATAAAAATAAAGTCTTGATAACAACAGACCCATGATCCTTAGCGTTCCATACCATACCTATATATGTAAGTAGAGCAAATTAAGTAAGTAACACTCGTACGATATTATTAATATTCTTTATGTTCCTAAGAGATTGATTTTCTAAAGATTTTACATATATTAAGATACAAGCATTATTTAATTCTTTGATAATTATTTATTTTATAAAATATTTTTTTAATAAAATATGAACCAATAGTAATTTGAAATAGTTAATTATTTTAATCATTACATCTTGAATTCTACTATTTATTAATATCAATTAATAAAAAATAAAATAAAAGCCGAAAAAATCAATATTTGTCGAACATACATAAAACACTAGAACATCAATCTTCCAAGAACATAGGGAGTATATAACAACACCATTAGGGGGTTAAAATTGGTGATCAGTAACAAAATCAAAATGACAAGATAATTCAAACTTTTTACGAATTATATCTCTATTGATTTAAATACCATGTGATTATTTTCAATCTATCTCTCTGCTTACGTTACATATTAATGATTTTAGTTGTTGCATATTGAGCTGCATTGTCATTATTGCATCTTGTTTTGTTTTAACCAAACTATCTATCTTACTGAAAAAACCACGAGATAAGAAAATGATTTTGATATATGTATTATTAGTACATAGCTTTGTTTTTTTTAGAAGTTAGACACATTTTTATATGTATAATTAAAAGACATTAGTACCACATTTTATGTAGTAAACGAACAGTGGCTGAATAATATGAGTAGTATATTCTAGAACATTGGTGTATAAAGAAAATTCATTAATTAAAAAAGAGTGGCTGATTTAGTATTCACATCAATTATTCTATATAATACTACTAAATAGAGTAAGATTAGTTCAAAACCGCCATTAAAATTGGTGTCCAATCGATGGGCTGAATTGAAATTGGGGTTAAAGTTACTTAAAATCTATATATTTATTTTCATTGGAATTTTTTAAAAAAACGAATTTTAAAATAACGAACCTTTATGACTCTTTCCCAAAGGCACCTCTAAATAGAAAGAACGTAACCTCTAAACTCTAAAGTGAGATTATTGCCTTAATTAACCATAGACTTAAGAGAGAAGTTGTAAGCTTGGGTTAGTGGCGTAGATGGAGAGTTAAGTACGCAACTCAACATTTTCACCTTTTTCAGCTATAAATAGAGATGTTTAGAAGAGCTTTTACATTCCCACACATAGAAAAAATCTTTCACAGTTTTATAATTTTATTATCTTTCTTTTCGTTTGAAATCTTTGTGAAAAAATGGCTAATGTTGGAAACACTAGTGGGTCTACTCGTTTTGAAGAGGTATGTCGTGAAATGACGCAGCTAAATGATGAAATTCAGAAGCTCAACGTGGATGATTTTGGTGCCAATGAAGAAGCAAGGAAGAAGATAACTGATATGACAACGAAGTTGAAAGAGCTCTATGAGAAGATGAAAGAAACTGTGAAGGAGATGAAGGAAACCCAACAGTGATATGTTACTTTTACTTTTCCAGTGAAGCTAAATAAATAATTGAAATGTTGCTATGCGTCTAAACTCTGATGAGGATTGTTAGACAAGTTAATTATTTTACTTTTCTTGAACTGTTTAAGTCCAATGAGAGACTTTCTTTTAAGTAAGTAATTGGAAAAATCTGATGACTTATATATATATACATGGTTGTTTCAATGTTCTTGGGAAATTCACATAAGACAATGTCTCAGTCAGAAATCTACAGGAAACCCAAAAAGGAAAATATTTACTCGAGTCATACATTATCATGAAATCTGTATTAGTTAAGTCGAGAGTTTAAAATCATGTAGCTATGTTTGATCCTACAATATATTACAGTTTAAAATAGTTCAACCGACAATGAAATGGTCTTGACCGATGAATTGAATTGGGGATAAAATAGTTCAACTGTTTTTCTTTCATTTCCTTATATGTCCATTGAAAATTTCGATTTCTTTACTAACAATAAATGAACTTGTGGAGAAATTTCAAGAATTCTTTGTGATCCAAGAAATAAACACTCTTCGTAACACGTTTTTTCTTCGTCATAATTTACTAGTTTCTTTTTTTTTTGTTTATCACCCTATAATGAGCTCATATAATCGATTATATAAATATCTTTAGATAGAAAACGTTACAAACTGTTATTTTGTTGTGTGTTAAAGTGTTAATGCTCACTAACAAAAATGAAGTCTTGACAAAAGACCCATGACCTTAACGAATCATATCAACATTTGGATATTAGGTGCGTCAATTAATATTAGAACAGAAAAAGTATTGAGCTTCATATACTCACCAAACACAACCTAAAATGTCTATGCTCAAAGACCAAAGTCATAGGTTGGATATCTTAGTACAGATTTTTTTTCTTATATATATAGTAGTACATACACTTTGTTTAGTAACCACAATTTTTACTGGAAATATTTTTGATTCCAACCAAGCTGCTTAATACCTAAGGTATAAAGAACTTTGGTGTAGCGTGTTAAATCTTACTTTTAATAACAAAAAATAGCTATGACAACTGATCCAGATTTTACAAATAATAGCAATACTTGATCGTTTAACAAAAATATATATTTTCTATAATTGATCTAAATACCATGTGTTTTATTCAATCTGTTTTCTCGGCATGTGTTACATATTAATGATTTTTTTTTCCTTTTTTTCAACAACTTATCTATCTTCTCAAACCAAAGAGGTTAAATTATTTAGATTAATTAATGTATATTACTAGTACAAAGAGTTTTTATACATTTTATCGGGTTACCTGTAACACCCCGACCGCCCCTACTAGTGAGCACCCACATCCTTTCTCAGGTCCATGGGCCCCACTCTTGTCCGACGGTCAGTCGGCTGCGTTCAGGAGGTTTTAAAGACTTGTTTACCGACCCTACAAATCACCACATGATCCTTTCCTGCATTTTCCCCCCACTCACACAATTCTGACAATCACTTCCCGGAATGTCATCCATCCTAAAATTGCTCCAGCTCAAGCACGCTTAACTGTGGAGTTCTCTCGGGATAGTTGACCGAAAAGATAAGTGCACTATTGTGACATAGGTGGTCAAATCAATTCTTTTAAACCTCTTCGCATGCACCGCCATAATCCTGAAAAGGGGGTATTACAATTCACCCCCACTAACAGATCGTAAGGTCCTCGTTGCTCCCAAGACCGTCACCCCTGACGGTGTGAGTCCTCTTGACTCCACACTCGACTTGGTTCGGCTCTGATACCACTTGTAACGCCCCGACCGCCATCTCTCTTATTGGACTCCACGTCCTCTCTTGGCCCGTGGGCCCACCATCTTCTGACGGTCGGTCCGCTACGTCCGGGAGGCTTTAAGACTTGTTTACCGATCATACAAATCACCACATGATATTTTCCTATGTTTTGTCCTCACTCTCACAGTTCCGACAAACACTTTCCAGAAGGTCACCTATCCTGAAATTACTCCAGCTCAAGCACCATGAACTGTGGAGTTCTCTCAAGACAGTTGACCGAAAAGATAAGTGCACTTTGGTGACATAGGTGGCCAAATCATTTCTTTTAAACCTCTCTGCATGCATCACCATATTTCTAAAACCACGGTGTTACAATTCACCCCCACTAACAGATCGCAACGTCTTCGTTGCGCACCAAGACCCTCACCCCCGGCGGTGTGAGTCCTCTTGACTCCACACTCTTCTGTGTTCGGCTTTGATACCACTTGTAACTCCCCGACCGCCCGCACTAGTGAGCACCCACGTCCTCTTCCGGGCCCATGAGCCCCACTCCTGTCCGACGGTCGGTCCGCTATGTCCAGGAGGCTTTAAAGACTTGTTTATCGATCCTACAAATCACCACATGATATTTTCCTGTGTTTTGTCCTCACTCACATAGTTCCGACAATCACTTCCCGGAAAGTCACCCTTCCTGAAATTGCTCCAGCTCAAACACACTTAATTATGGAGTTCTCTCAGGACAGTTGACCGAAAAGATAATTGTACTTTGGTGACATGAGTGGCTAAATCAATTCTTTTAAACTTCTCCGCACGCATCACCATATTCCTTAAAGCGGGATGTTACATTAACACCCATTTTCTGTAAGTACATTAGATATTAGCACATTTCATGTAGAAACGACATTTTTTACAGTATAATCAAAGCATCTTTGTTGACAACCAAACTGAGAGTATTTTGGATAGAATATTAGACCATCTCCAATGTAGGTATCTTAATGGGGTTCTAATCCTAAAACTGAATTAACGTGATTAAAATTAATGAAATGCAGCAAAAAAAAAGATAAGAATCGGCTCTTAACTAAGAGGTTTTGGAATACCTAAGAGCCCTTTACGTGTCACTCTGTGATTAGGTGAGGGAATTTTGATAAAACTAAAAAAAAAAACATCTTGTGTTCTCTCTCTCTCTCTCTATATCCATAGTCGCTGATGGGGTATCCATCTCTGATTTGGGGGTGAATCCGTTGATTGAGAGGTTAATTTGGTAAAAAATAGGGTTCGTCTGCTGTCTCAAAGGCTAAGCCAAGCTTCTTGAAGTTCAGATCTTAGCGAAATTCCAAATCATGCCAATAATTTCATCTCCAATTTCAATGTTTTTTACCTCTCTTTGTTTCCCCAGCCTTGCAATTTTGGTTGACTACTTCATTGTTTCAATTAAAATGTGTTTAATATTTTCCAGTAATCTGAAAATCTGAGAGCAGAAATCGACTTTCTGAGGTAACATTTCTCAGCTTATCAAAAATTGGAGTGTTGAAGAATCTCTGAGTAAGCAGTCACAGATGCTAAGGACTGGCTTACAACACAAACAAAGACTCGACCCCTTGTGTTGAGCTCTTTGGGTTCTCATTCAAGGGCGGACTACTCTGTTTTGGGTAGCTCTAGTATGTTGAAGAATCTCTGAGTAAGCAGTCACATATGCTAAGGACTGGCTTACAGCACAAACAAAGACTCAACCCCTTGTGTTGAGCTCTTTGGGTTCTCATTCAAGGGTGGACTACTCTGTTTTAGGTAGCTCTGGTATGTCTTGCAAATCAGATGGTGTCTGGCGAAAGGATCTTCTGGCTGCGGGTTTAGGTTAGATGTCCTCTCTTCCCCCTGGAATCATCTCACATCAGTCTGCTCTATGCAACAAGATATTGTCTTCAAAGGTATGTGTTTATCTATTTGCCTTGCACGTGATAAGTTCCTATTTTTTTATTTTGATTGAACTGTATTGATGATGTTTTTTTGTCTTTGGGATTCAGCTTCAAGCAAAGGAAGTTGAGATTGAATCACTTGAGACTCGGTTGAATGTGCTGGTATGTAACAAATAAACTTTTATTTGTTATCTTATATATTCCTGGTTGGCTACAGTTTGTTTTGTCTTTTTTTGTGCTAATTGGTTTGTGAGGCTTGACATGCAATATGAATCTCTGGACAGTCCATTTGGCAAACGATTCAAGATGTCTTGATTAAAGATAAACCAACCTTCACGATTCTTCCCTAAAACCACCTCTAAATAGAAAAAACCTTGAACTTATTTTCTCAATTAACTTTTTTAACGATCAATAAATAGTTTTTGGATGTAACATAAACCAGAAAAAGTAAAAACAACAAATCACAAGAGCATGATGATAAAAGATTAGGGAAATTGGATGTAAAAGACAATTTTTTTTCTTTCTCATTTGTCCATTTATACTTTTATTAGATAATTTTGTTGCACTAGGTTTTTAAATAATTAAAATTTTATTATACCTTTAATTAAATAAAATATAAAAATGAAAATTAGAGAATAAAAACAAATAAATATAATCTAATTTTTGACACATACACGTTGTCAAAAAGCCCAATCCCTCTAACTAAAAAAAAAGGCTATTTCTCAAAATTACTTATATACTTTTTTCTTTCTTTAACCCATGATTATTTTTTCGACACAATTAAAAGTAACCACCCAATCTCCCACTCTCGTGTTCTTTAAATCATGTATAACTGAATATCGTTTATTCCCTATTATAAATATATGATTCATAAAATATTTTCGGATCTAAGAGTTATTTTGTTGATCATGTAATTAACCCTTAATTTTTTTTTTGGTGTTTGTAAAATACTCTTTTATTTTAGTAAACTTCACATCTACGTTTTAACAATATTTTGGCAAGTTCTAATTTTAATGTTTCTTTGACTTATTGTTTTGATCAATTTAAATGGCTCCCACTCCAACACATTGTTTGATATTATTCCGCAATTAAATAATTTGAAAACTGATTAATCGTAATATAGTGTACTCACAAAATCTATAATACGAAAACAATACTATTAATTTAGTAAAACAAATCAGTTTCATCTCTTTGTTTCAATAGTTTTGCGAAAGTAGTTAATCTAGCATGCTTTTGTTCTTCAAGACCAAATCTCTACGCCTTCTCATTTAATCTCCATAAACCGCACGTTGTGTAGATATATAACATATTCATCTATTCACTAAGGAAAACATAAAAAATAAGAAAAAATTTGCTTTGATAAAGAAGAAGAAGAGAAGATGGCAAAATTTTGTTTTGAACCTAGTGTTAAGCAAGAAAATGTTTTCAATCTTTTTAACATATTCTAAATTTCAAGAATACATATTCTAATTTCATAGAACGTAATAAAAAAAAATATTCTCATATATTCGATTTTCTTAATTTGTATATTTAGTTTCCTTATTTTTCTCTACTTAGATAAGCGATGGTAGAAAACGACGAAAAACAACAATATAAACATTCTTACAAATCCAGAAACCACACAATTTAAAGATATAAATTAACTAACATACATGCATACCAATAAAACTTGAAAATTAACATACATAACAAATAAATTAAGAAATGTAGAGAAGGAGAACACAATTTGGCTAAGGCTGAATTTCAACTTAAACTTCGTCCATGATAGAGATGTAATTGACTTCACGAAGGCTATTGTCTTCACTCTCTCACGAAGGCTGTTGTCTTCACTCTCTCAATTTTATATTAAAGTGTGAGTTAATTGTATATGATTAAATGTGTTATTTTTGGTTTAATTGAACATAATTTTTTCTTAAGTTACATTACCAAGTGGACCAATAAGAAGAGAATAAAACCTAACTTTTATATATATATATATATATATATATTTATGATTTACAATGGATCATGATGTATTGATGTTTATAATAATACATAGAGATGTGTTTGTAGATACCCAAATGAGAAGATAAAAATAGGTCGAGGATTCGATAACATTATCTTCGTGCACATCCGAGAAATTTTGTTGTTTTGTTCTATGCTAACATATGAAAAATAGTATATAAGAAACTGTCATCTGTTTTTTACAACAATTAAAGGTGATTGTTTAACGATCAATTAATGGTTTGTGGATGTAAAATAAACCAGAAAAAATAAAAACAAAAAACCACATGAGCATGATTATAAAAGATTGGGGAAAATTGGAAATAAAAGAATTATTTTTCTCTCAATTGTCCATTTATATCTTTATTAGATAATTTTTTTGCACTAGATTTTAAATAATTAAAAATCTATTATACCTTTAATTAAAAAAAATATAGAAAAATGAAGATAACAAAATAAAAAATATATATATTATCTAATTTTTGACACATACACGTTGCGAAAAAGCCCAAAATATCTAACTAAATAAAAGGCTATATCTAAAAATTACTTATAAACATTTTTTTTCCTTTAATCCATGATTATTTTTTCAACAAAATCAAAAGTAACCGCCCAATCTCCTACTCTCGTTTTCTTTAAATCATGAATAATTGAATATCGTTTATTCTCTATTATAAATATGTGATTCATAAAATATTTTTAGATCTAAGAGTTATTTTATTGATCATGTAACCCTTAATTTTTTTTTTTGGTGTTTGTAAAATACTCTTTTGATTTAACAAACTTCACATCTACGTTTTAACAATATTTTGGCAAGTTCTAATTTTAATATTTTTTTACTTGTTGGTTTGATCAGTTTAAATGGCTCCTACTCCAAAACATCGTTTGACATTTTTCCACAATTAAATAATTTTAGAACCGGATTCATCATAATATAGTGTACTCACAAAATCTCTAATACCAAAAACAATACTATATTTAGTAAAAAAAATCAGTTTCATCTCTTGCTTCAATGGTTTTGCAAAAGTAGTTAATCTAGCACACCTTTGTTCGTCAACAACAAATCTCTACGCTTTCTCCTCATTTAATCTCCATATACCGCACGTTGTATAGATATATAACATATTCATCTATTCACTAAGAAAACATAAAAAGTAAGAGAAAAATTGATTTGATAAAAAGAAGAAGAGAAGATGGCAAAATTTCGTTCTGAACCTAAGTTAAGCAAATCGAAAACATTTGTCAAACTTTTGAACGTATTCTAAATTTTAAGAATACATATTCTATTTTTCGTAGAACGTAATTAAAAAAAAATATTTCCATATTCGATTTTCTTTTGTAGATTTAGTTTCCTTATTTTTCTCTACTTAGAAAAGCAATGCACTCCATCGTAGAAAAGGACGAAAAGCAACAATATAAAACATTTTTACAAATCCAGAAATCCCACAGTTTAAAGACATAAAATAACTAACACACATGCATAACAATAAAACTTAGAAATTAACACACATAACAAATAATAATGGAAATGTAGAGAAGGAGAACACAATTTGGCTAAGGACGAATTTCAACCCAAACACCGTCCATGGTAGAGATGTGATTGAATTCACAAAGGTTGTTGTTCTTCTCTCTCTCACATTCTGTTAAATGTTGTTGAGCCTTTGATGTCTAGAATTTTTGGAGTTTGTGGAGAGATTTGTAAACTTTCTTTCAGCTGTGTGAAGAAAAATTCTTGGAAATAAACATATTCTATCTGTTTTTCTTCTACAAGGTCTGAAACAGTCCAACCTTGGGTTTCAAATAAACATAACATCTATTCGGTTCAAATATTCGAACGGAAACCATGTGTGGAGCAGGGGTGGTGGACTCGACATAAGGACAAAAAAAACACTTTTTCAAGGAAATAACTGGATGACCAATAAGGTTTCCACTGCCCATTCCTCTTAGCAGTGTAGTAGATCTCTAAGTAAATAGGAGTATGACGTCCTCGTACCTTCTTGTTTCCTGCAACAAAGTTGGTGGTTATAACACAAGCATGAAAGTTTTCTTCACGAGGGTCACCTGTGATCACACCATAACGGAGCGGACATGGTAGGTTGTTGACCGTGAGAGCTGGCAGTTGGTACCGTCCGAATTGTGTATAGAGCAAAGATACCAAATCTTTTTAGGAGTCGATCATATAATAAGACTAGGATCGGACCCGCGGTCCACCGTGGGTCAATATTGGTTTACATACGTTGCGTTTAATATTGTGTGTGTTTTTTAGTAGAACGAATCGTGTAGTATACTTATAAATATTTTTAATAACGAATTGTAGAGAAAATGTAAAATTGTTTATAAATATACCCATCGTATTAATTATGATTTACAAAATAGAATTTTGTGTTTTAAAATTCTAAAATTAGACGATTCATGGGAATTAGAGCAGTCAAAATAGGTCAAAAACCGCGGGTCGAGCCCACATCATCTCACTATGGGGCAGATTTGGGAAAATAAATTAAACCCGCAAATAAGTGGGCCACATGGATTAATTCGCAGTGGGTCATAGGTTTAATCGGTTTTCATCCGCGGGTTGACGGATCAGCCTGCATATTAGTATTTATTGATAAAATTATAATTTATTCAACATGTGGTAATTTAAACAAACTTTTAATAGTATTTTTATTTATTTATTTATTTTATTATTTTTTTAAATTTTGGTTACTTTAAAATTATTTAAACAAAATCCATGGACAATCCCGCAAATCCGCATACATTCGCGGGACGGGTTTGTATTTCATATATGCTACCCGCGGGTCGTGTGGACCGACTAACTAAAAGTCAAAATATTTTTTGTCTATCGCAAAACGGACTTAACGGGACGAATCAACTCGCTTTGACAGTTCTAATTGGAATATTATTTAGTCATACAACAAAATGAAGTTTGGACATAGGAATAATAGAATATGTATCTTATTTGTTAGATGAGAGATTGAAAGATGAAGTATAATGATTGACAATTAATTATTATTTTTCATGATTCACAAAATTTAATAAATACTTATCATCTTGTTGAATAATTCTAAAATCATATTCAAGAAATCTTTATAAATTGAAAATTAAACTTCTTTGGTAAGCTATAGGTATGAAAATATCATAATTTCGATTTAATCTAATTAAATTAAAATTAGTTACATGGATTTCATATCTATTTAATTTACACGACCAAAATAAAAATATCTATTTAATTTACACGACCAAAATAAAAATATCAATTTAATTTATAAAACAGATGGGTTATTTGTGATAAATTTTCTAGAAATCTTTATAAGCAAGTAAAATATCTTTCAATTG